TTCATTGAAACAGGGTTTTGGGGGTCCATTTTACTATGATTGTATTAAGAAACCCCCAAAATAGTATAGGTAATTATTTAGGCCCCTAAATCCTAAACCCTAAACCCTAAACCCCTAAACCCTAAACTGCTTCACCCCAAACCCTAAACCCCTGATACCTCCTCCGCCAAAGGAGCTCTTGGAAGGACACTGCCTATGCTAGGCATAATATACCCCCAAAACCCTATTCCAATTATGAAGGCCCCTACATTAGTTTTCTAAGTCAGGGTCCCTGTTAGGGTAGGTTATCGTAACAGGCATGCAAGCCCCAGACCCTAAACTCCAAAACTCCAGGAGTGATTGATGGCTGGAAGCAATGAAAAACTACCCAAAATCAGCTGGTTCAGGGTTTAGGGTTTAAGGTATAGGGTTTAGGGTTTAGGGTTTAGGGTTTAAGGTTTAGGGCTTAGGGTTTAAGGTTTAGGGTTTAGGACTCGGGGCTTCGGATTTAGGGGCATTCCGGAGCTTGCGGCTCAGCAGCTCTTGATGAAGAGGCAGCCCAGCAGGATCAGACCTTCGGGTTCTTTCTTGCGGATCCATAGAGGGGCCGGTTTAGGATTTGGGGTGTAGGGCGGTTTAGGGTTTAGGGTTTAGGGTTTGGGGTTTAGGGTGCAGAGATTAGACCGTACCAGAGGATACCAAAGTACCCTAATCCTAACAGCTAAGCCCGAAGTCCTAAACCCTAAACCCTAAGCCCTTTGGAACCCCGAAGAAACCCAGGGGTTAGGGTTTGGGGTTTGGGGTTTGGGGTTTAGGGCTTAGGGTTTAGGGTTTAGGGTTTAGGGTTTAGGGTTTGGGGTTTAGGGTTTACGGTTTCGGGTTTGGGGTTTAGGGTTTAGGGTTTAGGGTATACCCTAATCCCTAAACTTTCGAGAAGCGCACTAAGGATCAGACACCTGGACCAGTGCCCCAGTGTGCGCTTGGCACAAGCCACATACTTCCTCGGCGAGCCACCAAAGGAGATACAGACAAATTGTTAGGCAAGGTTTACAGTGCGGCCTTAAGGTTTTAGGGTTTAGGGTTTAGGGTCTAGGGTTTAGGGTTTAGGGTTTAGGGTCTAGGGTTTAGGGATTAGGGTTTTAGGGGTTTTAGGGGTTTTAGGGGTTTTAGGGGTTTAGGGGTTTTAGGGGTTTAGTTTCAGTTGAGATGAGGTAGAGGCTTTTTTCTGCCAAAATATACCCTCGCCAACATACCCAAGGATCCCTCTACACTCATCAAAAGCCCTAATACCAACACGAGGTCATATGAGGTAGGAGCTATCTGCGGTTTCGAGTGAGCGCATCTAGGAGTCTTTAGTAATAATGGTGAGGGTTTCAGGGTTTAGGGTGCTAGAGTACACGGCTTCTACTCCCCGACCCAAATCAACACGTGGGCGGGCGATCCCGAGTCCTAAACCCTGAACCCCGAACCCTGCACCCACCCTAAACCTTAAGCCCAAACCCCAAACCCCCAAACCCTAAACCCCGAACCCTACACCCACTAAACAAAAAGCCAAAACCCCACCCTAAAGCCCTAAACCCTAAACCCTGCACCCTGGTTCCAAAAGCCAGAACCCCCAATCCTCAGCCCAAAACCCTGGGCGTTGGAACACAGAAGGGCTGGAAGCCATGCCTCAGGAAAGTCTACGTAACAGCCCAGGGAACTTAGTAAGCAAGGTCATAAGCAAAGCTATAATTAGTTTTAGGGCTTAGGGTTTAGGATTCAATTTCCCTAAACCCTAGACCCCAAACCCCTTCACCCTAAACCCTAAACCTTGGGCCTTTAAAGTATATCCCCGACCTCCACCCTCAGCCTCAAAGGACCATGAACCCTTTAGGGTGTAGGGTTTAGGGTTTGGGGTTTCGGGCTTAGGGCTCTGTATAGGTGGAGGCTTTAAGCCTGGGTCTACGGTATAAGTTTAGGGTTTAGGGTTTAGGGTTTAGGGTTTAGGGTTTAGGGTTTAGGGTTTAGGGTTTAGGGTTTAGGGTTTAGGGTTCAGGATGTGGGGTTTGAGACCTCGAACCCTGGAAAAGAAACATTGCTTCCACAAGACTTCCCCCGAAGGCCTGACATACACAGAGTTCCGCGTCTTTGTAAAGTGCGGAAGCACCTCTTACCCCAAGTAACATAGGGGCCTAAATAACTACCTATACTATTTTGGAGGGTTCCTTATTATAAGTATAATAGGGTGGGAACCAAAACCCTATTCTGACTGTTAAAACCCCTTTATTAACGTACTTGCACCCCTACGAACCCAGAGAGCCCAATACCCCTTGCTTAAGGAATATAAATACCTTAAATCATAATATTAAGGTCCCTATACTTGAAGGTATACTCCTTACCCTAAACCCTAAACCCTAAACCCTAAACCCTAAACCCTAAACCTAAGGGGTACTGGGTTCTCTGGGAACAGCAAGCCCTGCGCCTTCAAAGCTCATCCTCAGCCCCCAAGACCTGAAACCTGATGTAGGGGCCTTAATAATTAGAATAGGGTTTAGGGGTTTAGG